TATTATCGATTTTGGTAAGTCCTAAATTGATAAATATTATCAAATAAATATTAATCACATATTTATTAGTGAATAAATCAAATATATATTAATGAATACATAAATAATAATCATTTAAAATGATCAATAATCAAATTACTACATGCCCAACAATGTGCCTTTTACATCTAAGTTCTTTATTTAGTCCTTAAAAGATCACTCTGAGCTAGCTGTTAGACCCAATTTGCAGAATATAAAAATGAGATTCACAGAGATAAAGAGCTTTACTGAGGTCACACAGCACAACCAGTGGAAGTAGAGCCAGAGATTTGAATGAATGGAGGTCCCTCTGCATCCAAAGTCGGAGATCTTAACATCAACTCCGTAGAGGTGCCTTAACAATTCACTGGAGGGAGTGTATGTGTTGGCAGAGAAAAGTCCACCTAGTTGGTGGTGGAACTGGGAATTAGTTCCTAGAGGAAAAGCACTTTGAGAGAGTCCCTATTTGGTCATCTCCGAGGCAATCAGTTGGAAGGAAGCTTGCCTGACAGAGCAAAGTATAACGCTGATTATCCACACTCAGTAAAGAACTGAGTGATCAATTTGTTTTTTGGTGTGAATTTAGTCTTAATTAAACTTGTATTCATTTCTATATGGCCCCCACCACTGTTCTACCCTCAGGTACAAGTTTAAAGAAAAGCAATGCAAGACTGTATGGCTGATTCCAGCCCTTCTGTCTGTTAGGAGTGGGTGGTAGGGAGAGTTTGGCTTCATGAAGTCAGTCAGGAATCCAGACTTCTCCCATCTCATCAAATTCATGAGAGCCTTATTAATAATTGACTGGTTCCCAAAACAAGCCAAGGTGAATAAACTAGCTGATTTTAAAAGAACTACTTACTTAGGTAAGACAAATTCCAGAGACGGTCAGCACCTTTTGGCCTCCAAACCAAGCTGGCTGACCCAGACTGGTCGCATTCGTAAAAAAATACATGTATTATATTAGTGACCTTTGGACACTTACGAGTAGGCACATTCAGCCTATAGAGAAATTGGTTTTTTGGAATTCTTTATTCCACAGTCATCAGAATCTTCAAGAATGCAAATAATCACAAGAGAGAATACAGTGAGGCATGGTGGGATGAATAATCTGTTTGCATATGCTGGTTGGCTGCATCCTATAATCAAGCTCTGACCCAACCAAAAACCTGAATTGCATCTTAGAAAGGAAGTCACCAGTGACCCTCAATTTGGAATCCAAATGACATTCAAGCTTTGGACTCTACCATTCTGTGGCATTAGCTACTGCTTACCCAAGGTGTCAGATAGAACTGTAGGTTATAAGGGACAGAAACTAACTCCCCAGGAAGTTACAGTGGAAAATGAAATGGGATTGTATGCATGATATCTCACAGAGTCAAAAGAAGGCAAGAGGCTGGGACAAGAAGTAGAATAAGAGATAAGACCCTTGCAGGAACCACTGGGCCATATGGCATGGGGCTGCCTTGGAAGCAACTGAGATGTCTGTCTTTGTGTCCCACTACTCAAGATATAAGGACAGGAGTGAAGAGGTGTCTGACCTTGATTGGATTACATGGCTGTTACTTCAGGGGGCAAGTCAGACACAATGTGGGTGAGGTTGTTCCCATAGAAAAGTCAGTACATGGTGAGGAAATGGGAGTGGGAAGTGGCCTGCTAAAGCAATGTCCAATGTCTTCCATGTCCTCGGTTTTGAATTTCTTTCTTCCCCCGGTATAACACCATCTTAATTTTGCTCTTACCTTTCCACCCATTTCTTCCTTCACCCCTCTGTTATGAGTTTCTTGAGAACAGAAAATGCGTTTTATTCAATTTTGTCTTCTTTAGCACCCAGCATAATGCCTGGAATGTATCAGGCACTAAATTTTTGGTTGAATAAAAGAGTGAGTGAATGAATAAATTTTTGACACACATAGTCCCTACTCATAAAAAATTTAAACTGTCCAAAGGCAAAGAAAAAGGAGCCAAGAGACTGATATAGGTGATAGAAGTATATACAGCCTATAATGCAGGCAAAAAAGAAGAAGATGGTAATTCACAGTGACAGAGGTGATGCTCTCAGGAAAGCCTGCACCCAGGACTTGACAGTCTTGAGGATTACCAGGTGACCAAAGAGGAGAGGATCTCTCCAGCAGCATGCACCAAATCACAGATATGCAACTAAGGTGGTGCAGTCACAAACTGCAAGTGGTTTGGTCCAGCTACAGTTGAGAATGCTGGAAAGGAATTAGAGAGAGGTGAAACTGAAGACGGGTAGTAAAGGGAGATTTTGGAGGTCTTTAGAAGGAGTTTGTAGATAGCCCTTCCAAGAAGGGGAGTAACCCAATCATATATGCATTTTAGATAGCAAAACTTGAGATGAGCCAGATTGGAAGGATGGGCAATAAGGAATTAAGGATCAGTTTGCAGGTTGGGTGTACATTTGCGTATTTTCCCAGGTATCTTGCTGTTTCCTTCCCAGCTTCTTCTTCTGCTTATGTGGACTCTTCATTGAAAAATTATTTTATAAAAATTTGATTATTTGAATAATATAAGTATGTATACAGGTAAGGTTTATTTCCCATTTAAACATATGCTCAATCGTAGGTGTCTACCTGAAAGGATCTGCTGCCAACAATTTGTTGTGGCATCTCCTGTTTTCCCTATGTATTTGCATATACATGCATGTTGTTTTACGTGCTGTCATTTTCCACGTGATTTTGCTTACTTAACATAGTGTCTTGAATGTCTTTTTGTTTTTTGTGTAGAGTGAGCTGATTATTCATAACTGTGTAAGCCTCTGTAGTGTGGCTATGTATTAGTTTATCTATCTAGCCATTCCCTTAGAAATCCATGGATTACAGCCAGTTTCCACTATTACAGCCACTGTTACAATTCATTTTGGGCTTGCCTCCCTTTGAGCTTATGAATGTTTCCCAGGATAACCTCTAAGAAGGGTAATTACTGGATAGAAAATTATGCCCACATATAATTTTAATAGATTTTGCCAACTTGTTCTACAGCACTGCCTCAGTTTACACTCCCACCAACAGTGCATGAGTGGCTTAGTTGAAGTCTGTCAACTGTTCCTCCTCCTCTGGGAATCAGTCCTTGCTTCCTCACCCCAGTCCATGAAGACCACCCATCTCATTTTTTTCTGCTACTTACCTAATAACTAATTAATTCTGTCTTGTATTCTACTGATTCTATAAGGTTTTCTCTTCTTTACTAATTAAACTGTAAACTTACCTTGAAATGGCATTGTTCTATTCATGTTTACACATTTGAGTGTCTAAGTTACCACAAATAGAACTAACCCAGTAGTTATGAGGTAACACTGTGAAGGCAGAAATTCATCTGGATTTCTGAATCTTAGGAAACTACCAAACTCAGAATGCCAGCTGGCATCACAAGGGTTGACAAAGCATTACTGTTCTCATACTTCAAAGGAATAAGAATTCATAGCTATTCAAGTGGAACAAACTTCTCTCCATTTTCCTATATACTGACCAGTCACACCTCCTCCACTCCTCTTGTCTGATAATGGGGTGATAAATGCTAGAACAATAACATCAGTTTCTTAATGGCTGAGGAATACACAAGAAATGGTTGCCTGTTCTTCTTTGGGTGTTCTATGGTATGCATTGCTAGTGTATTGACTTAGGCTTGCAAAGTTAAATTAGGTTTTCTTCTCTCCTAAATCTATGTCCACAGAACAGACTCCAAGTCTGAGACTGGACCACGCTCAGTAGTAAAATGAGGCCCAATAAATGCGCCAACCTTACCAATCACTTAGAAGCTCCAACCACTGTGAAAAGTAGTTAATAATGGAGTAGAGGATCTCCCTCTTGAAGAGCAAAGGGTGATAGCATTCTAAGAATTGCGCATTCACTTTTTTCCTAGTTTAGTAACTTCCCATCATCGTTGCTTAAATGCCAGTATATAGTATCAAGAGAAAAATATTACCCTTGTGAAGCCAAAGGACTCATCAAGAGAAAGCAATAAAGCATTGAAGCTTATTTAGGATGAATATATTTGGACCAGGCTGTATGGATCACAGAAACCTCTTCTACTTGTATAGCTGTGTGGTGGGAAGGGGCTGAGGGCAGGGGAAGAAGGGAGGAGGAAGCCAACGTCTGTCTTTTTCAAAATGATATATCTTGCATGACAAACAAAAGACAATGTACCTTCAGAAATTTCTGACCATTTTAAACTTGTTAGAGCCAAGATCAGCACATCATATTTAACAATTCCAATATGCTTAATATGTTTAATATACAAGGGGACCACCAATATTCTAAAAGGCTATAATCAAAAATGATATAGGGAATTAGCAAGGGTAGTTTTCAAACTATATAGATGCACAAGAAAGTAACAAAGTCTGAATTCAGATATCTGGATACATGTATGCATGTGTGTGCGTGTCTATATATATATTCATTTTAAGAAAAATCTCAAGTCCCTGACAATTAATGGAAGAAGGAAGTTCAATCTTTCCGTTGGCTTACAAAGTTGGCTAAACTGAACTTTTATGTTAACTTTCTATAACTTGAATGTTTATTCATGGTCTTCATCGAGTAACTGGAATGATGGTAAAGGTGGTGAGCATTGGAGTTTACAGTTGAGATGTTCAAATATGCAGACCCAATCTTTCTCTGCTGCATCCTTGAAACACCACATCTGCAACCAGAGAAAACCCAGTCTTTGGGAGACTCAGTCAGCACTCCAATGGTCATATGGCTTGGTGCCAGGCATGACAATTCACAATTCATTTCCTCCCATGGAACACATTCATGCATAAAATATGTCCTTCACAGCAGCTATAGAGAAAATGAACAACTCTACTTAAAATGATCAAAACCACAAACAAAACACTAAAGGAAATAGAGAATGTAATCAGAACCATTTATCATCAGGTCCTCCAAAATGTGAACCATATTAAAGCATTATCATGAGGGTAAAATTGAGAATACTTAGGAAAAATGGGTAAGTTAAAGGCTACTCACCTTAATGTCATTTCTGAATTCTTGTGAGCCTCTAACATTAAAGCATATAGTATTCAATACCTGTCAATTTTTAAAAAAATTGTTGAGTTTACTATAACATTCACTTTTCATTAAAATATTTACCATTAAGAACTCATTAAATATTTACCATTTAAGAACTCTAGTCTTATCTATGGAGAGTAAAAATAATCAGCCCAAATGCCATGAACTCAAATCCTGGACAATAAATTTTGTCTTCTTTGCTTACTGTTACCAGTGATTAGCAGATTAGCAGTTATACCAATTATTACCAGTTATTATCACTTGTTACATGACAGTTAATGAACAGCCATAATTTTACACAAAGGGGCACTTCTTAGTATCTTTCCAACTACTAAAGTATTGTCTGAAGGAGACATGTTAGTAAGAATGTAAATAATTTCATTGGTTCATTGAAAGATGCTAATTACATATGTGATACTGGTATGTTTGATCCTTAGGATTTTAATATAGAATAGTAGGATATTCTGATTCCTTTTGGATTAGGAAAGAGTTTTATTTCTAAGCTGTAATATTGACTGCATTGAGCCCCAAACATAAAGCCCTGATGACATTGACTATCAAATGCATTGTCTATTTCAAAATAGCTAGGATAATTTTGAAAGTTCTCACTACAAAGAAATGATAAATATATGAGGTGATGAATATGCTAGTTAGACTGAATTGATCATTCCAAAATGTAGTCATGTGTAAAATATCACATTGTACCCTACAAGTATATTCAATTATTATTTGTCAATTAAAAACAAAATAAAACTTTATTTAATTGGTTGTTGGAGAAGTCTTATTTTTGTACTTTTATTTTAGGTTCAGGGGTACATGTGCAGGTTTGTTATACAGGTAATTGCATGTCAGGGGGTTTGGTGTACAGCTTATTTCATCACTCAGGTAATAAGGCACAGTACACAAGTATTTTTCAATTCTCACCCTTCTTCTACCCCCTACCCTCAAGTAGGCCCTAGTGTCCTTTATTCCCTTCTTTGTGTCCATATGTACTCAATGTTTAGCTCCCACCTGTAAGTGAGAGCATGTTGTACTTGATTTTCTCTTCCTGTGTTAGTTTGCTTAGGATAATGGCCTTCAGCTTCATCTATGTCACTGCAAAAGATTGTATCTCATTCTCTTTCATGGTTGCATAGTATTCCATGGTATCTATGTACCACATTCTTTAAAATCTAATCTACCATTGATGGGCATTTAGGTTGATTCCATTGCTATTGTAAATAGTTCTGCAATGAACATGTGCATGTGTCCCCATGGTAGAATAATGTATATTCCTTTGGGTATGTAGCCAGAAATGAGATTACTGTGTCAAATGGTAATTCTGTTTTAAGTTCTTTGAGAAATTGCCAAGCTGCTTTCTACAATGGCTGAACTAATTTACACTCCCACCAGCAGTGTATAAGAATTTCCTTTTCTTTGCAATCTCACAAGCTTCTGATATTTTTTGACTTTTTATAATAGGCATTCTTACTGATGTGAAATTGTATCCTATGTAGTTTCTATTTGCATTTCTCTAATGATTAGTGATGTTGAGCAGTTTTTCATATGCTTGTTGGCTACATGCACATCTTTACAAAGTGTCTGCTCATGTTTTTTGCCCACTTTTTAATGGGCTTATTAGTTTTCTACTTGTTAATTTAACCTCCTTAAAGATTCTAGATATTAGACTTCTGTCAGATACAGTTTGCAAATATTTTCGCCCATTCTGTAGGTTGTCCGACTCTGTTGATAGTTTCTTTTGCTGTAGAGAAACTCACTTGTTTAATTGTCAATTTTTATCCCATTTGTCCATTTTTGTTTTTGTCAGAATTGCTTTTAGCATCTTTGTCATGCAATCTTTGCCAAGTCCTATGTCCAGAATGATACTTTCTGGGTTATATTCCAGCGATTTAATAGTTTTAGATTTTATGTTTAAAAGTCTTTAATCCAAGTCTTTTTTTCTCTCTCTTTTGACACGGAGTCTTGCTTTGTTGCCCAGGCTGGAGTACAGTGGCAGGATCTCAGCTCACTGCAAATTCTGCCTCCTGGGTTCAACTGATTCTCGTGCCTCAGCCCCCTTCATAGCTGGGATACAGGCACACACCACCACACCCAGCTAATTTTTGTATTTTTAGTAGAGACAGAGTTTCACCATGATGGCCAGGCTGTTCTCGAACTCCTGGCCTCAGGTGATCTGCCCACCTTGGCCTCTCAAAGTGCTGGGATTACAGGCCTAAGCCACCATGTCTGGCCATTATATATAGTGGAAAGAAGAGGTCTAATATCAATCTACTGCATACAGCTGCTTTTATTGAATAGGGAGTCCTTTCCCCATTACTTGTTTTTGTCAGCTTTGTTGAAGATCATCTGGTCATAGGTGTGTGGTCTTATTTCTGGGCTATTCTGTTCCATTGGTCTATGTGCCTGTTTTCTGTACCCCTACCATGCTGTTTTAGTTACTGCAGCCATTTAGTATAGTTTGAAGTCAGGAAATGTAATACCTCCAGCTTCGTTCCTTTTGCTTAGGATTATCATGGCTATTTGTGTTTTTTGTTTTTTGTTTGGTTCCATAAGAATTTTAAAATAGTATTTTTTTTTAATTCTAGAGAATATCATTGATAATTTAATAGAAATAGCATTGAATTATTAAATTGTTTTGGGCAGTATTGCCATTTTAACAATATTGATTCTTCCTATCCATGACCAGAGAATATTGCTCCCTTTGTGTCATCTATGATTTCTTTGAGCAGTGTTTTGTAATTCTCATTGTAGAGCTCTTTCATCTCTCTAGTTTAGCTGTACTCCTAGATATTTTATTCTTTCCATGGCTATTATGAATGGAGTTGCATTCTTGATTTGGCTTTCAGCTTGGATGTTGTTGGTGTATAGGAATGCAACTGATTTTTGTATTTATTTTTGTATCCTAAAACTTTGCTGCAGTTGTTTATCAGATCAGGGAGCTTTTGGGCAGACACTTTGGGGTTTTCCAGGTATAGTGTTATACTGACTGCAAACAAAAACAGTTTGCCTTCCTTTCCTCCTGTTTTGATGCCTTTTATTTATTTATTTTGCCTGATTGCTCTGACTAGGACTTCCAGTACTATGCTGAATAGGAGTGGCAAGAAGGGCATCAGTATCTTGTTCTGGTTTGTAAGGGGAATGGTTCCAGCTTTTGTCTATTCAGTATGATGATGCCTGTGGGTTTTTCATAGATGGCTTATCTATTTTGAGGTATGTTCCTTCAATGCCTAGTGTTGAGAGTTTTTACTATGAAGGGATGTTGAATTTTACTGAAAGCCTTTTTCTGCATCTATTGAAATGATCGTGTGGTTTTGGGTTCAGTTCTATTTATATGATTAATCACATTTATTGGTAGGAATGTATCGAAGCAACCTTGCATCCCAGGGATAAAGTCTACTCGAGCATGGTGGACTAGCTTTTTGATATGCTTCCAGAATTGGTTTGCTGTATTTTGCTGAAGATTTTTGCATCTGTGTTCATCAAGGCTATTGGGCTGAAGTTTTCCTTTTTTGTTGTGTCTCTCAGTTTTGGTAGCAGGATGATGCTGGCCACACAGAATAAATGAGAGAGGAGTCTCTCTTCCTCAATGTTTTTGAATAGTTTCAGCGAGAATGGCACCAGATCTTCTTTGTACCACTTGTAAAATTTGGCTGTGAATCCATCTGGTCCTGGGCTTTTTCTGCTTGGAGGCTTTTTACTACTATTGAAGACCTTACATAGGAGGTAGATATGTGAACTTTCCCATAAAAATAATTAGAATTTTTTATTCTTTATTATTACATCTAGCTTCAAACTAGATGTAAATTCCCAAAATAGTTCAATCTTAAAAGTTATGAAAATTAAAAATCTCACCAATCCAGTAAGTTTTTGATGAAATGATGGTATCAAATAAGTTACAACCTAGATTATAGGATATATTAATTGAATTAGTCCATTCTCATACTGCTATAAAAACATATCTGAAGTCCCATAATTTATTTTAAAAAAAGAGAATTAATTGGCTCATGGTTCTGTGGGCTGTACAGGCTTCTGCTGCTGTGGCGGTCTCAGTAAACTTACCCTCATGGCAGAAGGTGAAGCAGAAGCCAGCCCATCTTCATATGGCTGGAAGGAGAGAGAGAGAAGGGGGAGGTGTCATACACTTTCAAACAACCAAGTCTTGTGAGAACTCTATCACAAGAACAGCAAAGGAGAAGTCCACCCCTATGATTCAATAACCTTACAACTAGCCCCTCTTCCAACACTGGGAATTACAATTTGAAATGAGATTTGGGTAGGTACACAGAGCCAGACTGTACCATTAATTATATTAATCTTCAACTAACTCAGCATTCATGAAGTTCTAATCATGATTACATATACCATGGACATGCAAACAAATGTTTTAAGTGCTTAAAACAAGTTTGAAATGAAAATATTCCTCCAAGAATCTCAATTATGCTATCTTTTCACTTAGAAAATCAAATCCTTTCCTATGGAAAACGTGAAAGCAAATTTTAATATAAACTTGTTATGAAAATTATGAAAAACTAGGATCCAAACTAATGATACTTCAGTATACTTTTAATATAATTAAACAGCTTTCATTAAAGAGTTTTCAGTAACTTTAGAGATAACATGCAATTAAAACAAACAAACATATTGTGGCTGGGCATGGTGGATCATGCCTGCAATCCCAACACTTCGGGAGGCTGAGAAGCACTGCCTGAGCCCAGGTGTTTGAGATTAGCCAGGGCGATATAGCGAGACCCTGTCTCTACAAAATATTTAAAATTAAAAAATTAACTGGGCATGGTTATGCATACCTGTGTTCCCAGCTACATGAGAGACTGACATGAGCAGATCATCTGAACCCAGGAGGTTAAGACTGCAGTGAGCCTTGATTGCACCGCTGCACTCCAGAGTAGGTAAGAGTGAAACTCTATTTCAAAAAAAAATAAAAAGAAAAGAAAAGAAGAGAAAAAACGTCATGTCACTTCCATTCCCCAAAGCCTTTAATAAGCTTTAAGAATCAGGTAAATCAAGTAAACTCTACTCCTTTGTTCTTCATTCAAATCTTTTTATTCTAATCATACTCTTTTAAACATTTATCCTTTATGTCAATATTTCATTCAAACTAGCCTAAATATTCTTTCGTAGTTCCAGGAACTATATTTTACTCATATCTCTTTATTTCTAGGCCCTAGCACAGTACTTAGCACAGAGAACCTAGTCTGAGAACTGATCTAAAATCCTCCATACCTCTGCTCAGATATTTATTCAATCCAGAATTCAATTTTTCTCCTCCTTCTCCTATTGAAGATTAAATAGATACTGACTCCTGAAGGTTCCCACAGTCTTCATTCACTGTGCTCCCTCAGCATTTTACCTGCACTGCTAGTATAATATATACTCTAGTCTGCTTTACGATTAATTATGTACATGTCTTGATTCCCTCATTAAAATATAAGTGCTATGAGCTCAGAGATTGCTTCATTTCTCTTTACATCCCCTGCCTGTAGAGCTCCTGCATATCACTGATGGGTGAATCTTTTCATTTGCTCAAGTCTTCCATTTCTGAATGCGCTTTTCCCCAGGTGTGAAAAACAGATTCACTGGCCAGGGTCTGGCCTTTGTAGGTTGAAGCTGTTTCCCTTCTCATAGCTTTGAATGTTAAATTTGAACATATCAGTAATAGACTTGGGTCATTCTGTTCCTTTATTTCTGTCCTTGGAGTTAGGATTTTGGAATGTAGCATACTAGTTTATATCAATTTCCTTGAAAATTTAAACAAAGATATGAAATAGCCATCTCATGTCATACTAGATATGGCACAACTTGTTGCTGTAATTATCTGTCCTCTGATAAATTAGCCTAATTAAGTACATCTGAACAGTGGGAGGAGGGTAGAGGTATGGGCTTGCCTCTTTTCAGATTTTTCAGGGAAAAGACAAAACAGGCACAGACCCACAAAGAAACTGCCACGTTTTCTCCCCTGATCTGTTATGGGGACTCAAGCACCCAAGGGTCACGGTCATCCTGTAGTTCCAAATGTTTAGTCTTAAAACACAAAGTAAACTCTCTGAAGTTTCCTCATAAGTAACTGGGAATAAGCATTGAGCACCTACTCCTTAATTTTAACAGGACTCCAGGCCAGAAAAACAAAACATGATGCTTTTGACTGCAAAAAAGAAAGTGCCCATTAATACCACTTCTACATGTATATCACAGCAGTGATAGCTAATAAACCACTTATGAAATAAAAGAAATGGGGTTTGAAGATGGTATTTTAACCAAAGTGTATAAATTTTTCAGAGGCTTGTGTCTGAAAACCTGATATTTAGAGGATCCATTCACAAACATGCTACCTGCATCTCTGCCCATAGGCAAACATCACCAATCAGTTATGGCATCAGATCTCTTCTGCACTCTACCAAGAGGTCATTGATAAGAAGTAATATTTTCCCATGTAAAGTTAGGCAACCATCCCACAACAGAACAAACATGCAGCTAACAGATCCCTGGTTCTCACTGCATGTTCGGTTTTATGCAACCAACTGTTTTTCCCTGGTCACTGGTGAATTCAGAGCCTTCCACGACATCACAGTCTCGAAGGGAAGACAGATTCGATAATAATTTGTTTCAATACCAAGGAGAAAAATACGTTCAGTAGCAGAGGCACTAAAGTAGGGTGCTTAGTCAAGTCTATGGCAGAGATAGTTATTGAGCAAATGAATGAGCAGGGAGGAGTTGAGCACAGAACAGAAGAAAAGGTATTCAAGTAGGAAGAAATGGCATGAGCAAAGCACTGACTATAACAGCATGAGATGTGTGTGTATGTTTGCACATGTGTGTGTTGTGTCTGAAGGAAGCATAATATAAAGGTAACAGTGTTTCTAGAGGGAGAAGTTCTGAAATGGTAAGTTGCTATAAACGGGGTTAGATAGATAATCCAAAAGCAGTTTGGGAAGACCTGATAGGAAATTTAACCTTATTTTCCACTTTCTCGGCCCCTGCTAAAATGTGAAACTCCATTGAGGGATTTTAAAGAGAGATGACAGAAATAGAGTGAGAGAGACACACACAGATTGTTAACTTCATGTTTAAGAGGCAAATAAGAGGAACTTGAGTTACAGATTGGAACCAAAGAGTGGAGGAAGCAGGAGAAAGAATCAGGTAAACTCAACTGTAGTTATAATTCACTTGGAGCCAAACCAGCAGCCATCCACGCATGATACAAATGGACTATGGTACCATTCACCCTCCTCTCTCTAATCTAAAACCATTCCCATTATAATCAGCCCTCTGCATAAAACAATAGGAAACCATAGTTAAAATGAGCATATCATGTGTATCTCATAGATATCTGGATAGACAGTGACAAGGCTTTGCAAAAAAGGGAGGCAAGAAAGAGCAACTTCAACCATTCCTAAATTTGTCTTGCTTCTTAGGTTAATTAACAAAACAAAGCTTGCCAGAACGAAGTGTAAAGTGAAAGGGAAGTGGTAAGATACAGGAAATACCTTCAAAACTGTTGCCCTTTGCTGGAACAATTGTATAGTTGAACTGTCATATCTATACTTGGGACTAGCCAATGAATTATTTTATTCAACAGATTTACCAGAAAACATTTAACATCTACCATGCACAATTGTGTCGTGTTAAACCCTATGATGTTATAAGATATGAGCCCTGCTCTCAAGGAAATTTTGCTTCAAGTGGGAGATGTACACACATAAAATTGATAGTGAAATTAAAAACAGTTATGTACTATATACCCCGCTTGATGTTTCATGGGGAGCTAATAAAAGAGGCTTCTCCTGGGGATACTTGAGAAAGTGAAACTGCGTTTCAAAAGACGGCAAGATTAAAATAGAAAGAAAAATCTTGGTGACAAGAGAGTTTAAAATAACTCCAAACTCCTTTCTGTATAAGAGGAAAAGACCAAGAAGGAAAGGTAGTAAGGGAGAAAGTAGCCCAGCGCTCACTGCACATCTGCCATGCAGAGGCATGACATTTTCTATATATTTTCAATTGATTTTAACAAACATCACCCCTACTTTACTAATGTGGAAACTCCATATAGACGTTAAATGTCTTGTCCAAGATCACACAACTGTAAATAACCAGGGCAGTGACAGAAGCCTGCAGTCATCTGTGTTTAAAACAGGGTTTCTCACCCTCCGCAAATTAAAGCCTGGGGTAGATATTTCTTTGTTGTGGGGGGCTGTCTTGTGCTCCCCACTAGATGCCAGTAGCACCCTCTCTGCTGTGAAAATCACAGCCAAAATTATCTCCAGAGATTCCCAAATGTCCCCCTGGAAATAAAATCATCCCTAGTTGATTACTACTGATTTAAAGTTTCTTCACATGAGAATGAAGTAGGAATGAATTTACATTGAACATGAATTCGGGAGACAGTGAAGATATTAACTTTGATGAATCATCAGATGCATATTGAAAGATGTCAAAAATGGTGACATATAAATTCCTGAGCACATCAGCCTTAAGAATTGGATTCAGAAAACAGGTAGAAATAGGATAAGTTAGGCAGCCATGCTCATAAGTCAAACCATGCCACACAACCAGTACTGTGAGCCTGGCAGCAACTATAGTCCAATGCTGGATGCCTCACCTTGCTCACCACCTCCTGCTGCTGGGAGGAGACACAGCCTGCTGCTGCTGGCAGCGAACTCCCGGAAAGGATACCAATGGACCAACAACAGGAGGGATTCTCCTCCACTGTCCTCTTTTCATAACTACCTCTGGGTTCAAGTTTATCTGATTGTAAAGCTTACGTCACATGTCTGAGTCCTTCCTAAAAGACTGAATAGGAAACTGGGATCTCCAATTTTAGGTTTCTACAGTAACAAGTGGGCTCTGAAACCTTGTAATAACAGAAAGGAGGAGTCACTGGAAAGTCAGAGAGAGAAAAGAGAGAGCAAGAGAGAAAGAAAAAAAGAGAGATGAAAAGATAAATATCCACTATAAGTTTTTACCAGAGACAACAAACAGTGTTAACTCTTTGAAGAATGGAAGGAGATGATAAATCATTTTTGTAAAAAAACAACATAAAATCTTTTACTCAGATGAATACTGAAGCTAAGAAAAGCTAAGAGGCCTATTATATCACAGTAGTGGAATATTGTGCGGCTTGTTTCTGTTACCAGTAGAGCTTGCTGGAAACGGGGAGCTGTCACTGCATCAAAGTAGAGTGTGCTCACCGGGAAACTATCCGAAAGGTTGGAAGGAGAATGATCATACGCAAGATTACTGGAGGACAGCTTCGGGCTTCCAGCACCCCTTAAATCTTCATTCCTGCAATCCAAGCCAGCTTCTCTCTGTCCCCCGACTTCCTCTTTTTACTGCCAGGCAATTTCAACTGTCTAGGTGCTGTTAAAATAGAGTGACTACATTTCAGGAATGCCAGATGAATATCCAAACAGTCTTCAAAGGAATGTAGATTTATCTCTCATTTACATGATCCAGGAAGAAGTTTATAGCCCAATTTCCTAACCTCTTCTAGGGACAGAATCAAGACTGGGAGAACTAAAACGCTCGCCCACTGTGATCTACGAGATGAAGACTTGTCCAAAAGGAATACATCAAAGAGACCCGGTTGCTATTTCTGCATAAGTTCTGAAACAACGTGTTAACTTTATAATCAGTGCTTTCAAGTAAGTTACACCTTGAATTACTCAGAAAAAAAGACCTGACCTTGTAAAAGTTCTTTACTTTCAGCCAAGTTTCCCTGTTTACTTTTCTCTCTGGTTTCTGCTGCGCCTTGTTCCTTCCTGTGGCTAGTGAGTCAAAGACAAACCTGAACTGTGAAATTGGCCCTAAAGACCGGATAGGGCCTCCTTTCTTTTGCTTTTGGATGCAGAGAAGTCTTCTCTGGAAAGACGTTTTTTCACTTGTGATAACCAAAAAGTCCT